AAACAAGTGTAGTCAAAGATAAGATAAACCAATATTGCAAACTAGAAATACCGCAGGAAATAGCAAACAAGAGGACTCCAATAGCAATAGTGAGGATAAATTACCAAAAACAACTGGTGGGGAGCTCCATTTTTTGGTGCTAGGGGGGATAGAAAGTAAGACAGGGAAACATGCACCAACAGGGAATACAGTCACAGAAACCCAAGGCAAACGGAAACCAAACCTGTGCACATACTATGCACTCGGTATCTGCTGGCATGGGAAATCTGGAAAAACAGATGGAACGTGCAACTATGACCACCCTGGAAATGCCATGCCCATATGACAACAGGAAAATGAAAAACCCCTTCCTGAAGCTTTTTCACCTGAACTGTGACCTCTTCGTACGGAAAGACTGTGCTAAACTTAAATTGCCACATACCATCAAAAGGGGGAAAAAAAGATACAAAACACCAGGCCATGGGAAAACCGGGGTGCCACAGCCATAAGAGGGGAAGGTTTTTTATCCCGGGGAAGGGAAAAAAAAACTGGCAGGAAAGGGCAGAAATCTACACCAAAATCCATCATTCCTGGAGTGGAACCACGTGATGGCCTCCACCCCAAAACCAACAGATACAGATACAATGCCGGAAAAAAAATCCCCCCCCCCCGTACCAAAATACCACCAGCCCCGAAAACATTTTTCTTTGCAAATTACAGGTTAAGCCAGCAACAAAAAACAAAATACCTTTATCCGTGACTGCTTGCAGGGCAAGGAATTTTCCGGTTTTCACTAGACCACATAAAGGATCACTTGGAAAAAACGAAATATGGATCCCGGTTACAACCTATCAATGTGACAGAGGAACAGGCAAAAGGGGGTTGGCCTGACATTGCAGAGTCCTTGTTTGCACAAACGCTAAATGCCTCAAATGATGTGTGGAAGTTTTACTAAAGGTCGAAAACCCAAAAACTAGCATTGTGACAGTCTACAAGCCCCCGGGATGCAACATCCCACCCAATTCCGGAAACAGCTTTTAAAAATTGACCACTGGGGGGAAAACTCCAGCCCCGCACCCAAAATCTTGCCCTGGGGATTTTTAACTTAAGGGAAATAAAATGGAGGAATATAGCAAATAATATTTTTGCAGTAATATCACCCGGAGGCAGCTCTGATGAAAACTCACACTCACGCGACTTTTAAATCTTGCACAAAATTCAATTTAAACCACAAATAATAGAGCCCACTAGACTGGAGAATCACAGAGCTCACTTCACTAAAAAATTTATGATCTGATAAAAATATCACCAATCAAAAAAAATATACTCAGACCAACATAATTGAGGGTTTAGTCATGTATGCGCGGGGCCCCAACCCCCAAATGAATTAGTCACGAGGGAGCATTCACCAAATTCAACTTCAAAATAAAAAAACTAAAGTGGGACCAAGAAAACCAAGTCCTAACCGATATAAGCTGGGGGAAAATATACAAAACAACACAGACCCCAACCTATGCCTAAACAGATTAACTCGGTGGCACTGGTATGCCCAAGCTTATTCCTTAAGAAAAAGGGGGGAGATTTTTAAAAAAGAAAGAACAGGCGCTCCCCTTTTCAGGCGACGGAAAAGAAAAACAGAGCCGCTAAAAAAGGTAATATATCTGAAAGCGTAGGGAGACACTGGTCAGAGAAAAAGCAACATCGAACTTAAGCAAAAGAAACCTTTAGGATCGGAATCGGGGGAAGAACTAAAAACCAAAATGAAATCGAAAAAAAACCCAAAGTATTTTTTCTCCTATGCCAAATCAAAAACAGAAAAAGTCCAGTATTGGGCCCCCCACTTAAACAAATGGGTCCTACACAGATGACAGCAAGGAAATGATGAGCTAACTCAAGTCCCAATATGACTCAGTTTTTAGCAAGCCGCTAACCACACTGAGAGTCGAAGATCAAAATGAATTTTTATGAGAGAGCCAAAAAATTTGATTAACACAAGCCTATCCGATGTTATCCTGACGCCAAATGACTTCGAACAGGCGATAAATGACATGCCCATGCACTCTGCCCCAGGGCCAGACTCATGGAACTCTGTGTTCATCAAGAACTGCAAGAAGCCCCTATCACGAGCCTTTTCCATCCTATGGAGAGGGAGCATGGACACGGGGGTCGTCCCACAGTTACTAAAAACAACAGACATAGCCCCACTCCACAAAGGGGGCAGTAAAGCAACAGCAAAGAACTACAGACCAATAGCACTAACATCCATATCATAAAAATCTTTGAAAGGGTCCTAAGAAGCAAGATCACCACGCATCTAGAAACCCATCAGTTACACAACCCAGGGCAACATGGGTTTAGAACAGGTCGCTCCTGTCTGTCTCAACTATTGGACCACTACGACAAGGTCCTAAATGCACTAGAAGACAAAAAGAATGCAGATGTAATATATACAGACTTTGCAAAAGCCTTCGACAAGTGTGACCATGGCGTAATAGCGCACAAAATGCGTGCTAAAGGAATAACAGGAAAAGTCGGTCGATGGATCTATAATTTCCTCACTAACAGAACACAGAGAGTAGTCGTCAACAAAAGTAAAGTCCGAGGCAGCTACGGTGAAAAGCTCTGTTCCACAAGGCACAGTACTCGCTCCCATCTTGTTCCTCATCCTTATATCCGACATAGACAGGATGTCAGCCACAGCACCGTGTCTTCCTTTGCAGATGACACCCGAATCTGCATGACAGTGTCTTCCATTGCAGACACTGCAAAGCTCCAGGCAGACATCAACCAAATTCTTTCAGTGGGCTGCAGAAACAATATGAAGTTCAACGATGAGAAATTTCAATTACTCAGATATGGTAAACATGAGGAAATTAAATCTTCATCAGAGTACAAAACAAATTCTGGCCACAAAATAGAGCGAAACACCAACGTCAAAGACCTGGGAGTGATCATGTCGGAGGATCTCACCTTCAAGGACCATAACATTGTATCAATCGCATCTGCTAGAAAAATGACAGGATGGATAATGAGAACCTTCAAACTAGGGAGGCCAAGCCCATGATGACACTCTTCAGGTCACTTGTTCTATCTAGGCTGGAATATTGCTGCACACTAACAGCACCTTTCAAGGCAGGTGAAATTGCCGACCTGGGAAAATGTACAGAGAACTTTCACGGCGCGCATAACGGAGATAAAACACCTCAATTATTGGGAGCGCTTGAGGTTCCTAAACCTGTATTCCCTGGAACGCAGGAGGGAAAGATACATGATTATATACACCTGGAAAATTCTAGAGGGACTAGTACCGAACTTGCACACGAAAAATCACTCACTACGAAAGCAAAAGACTTGGCAGACGATGCACCATCCCCCCAATGAAAAGCAGGGGTGTCACTAGCACGTTAAGAGACCATACAATAAGTGTCAGGGGCCCGAGACTGTTCAACTGCCTCCCAGCACACATAAGGGGGATTACCAACAGACCCCTGGCAGTCTTCAAACTGGCACTGGACAAGCACCTAAAGTCAGTTCCGGATCAGCCGGGCTGTGGCTCGTACGTTGGTTTGCGTGCAGCCAGCAGCAACAGCCTGGTTGATCAGGCTCTGATCCACCAGGAGGCCTGGTCTCAGACCGGGCCGCGGGGGCGTTGACCCCCGGAACTCTCTCCAGGTAAACTCCAGTCAATGTTCTTGTGTTCTGGCTCTCAGGATTCAGTGTTCTTCACTTGTGTTCTGGATCTCAGGAGTCAGTGTTCTTCACTTGTGTTCTGGATCTCAGGAGTCAGTGTTCTTCACTTGTGTTTTGGATCTCAGGAGTCAATGTTCTTCACTTGTGTTCTGGTTCTCAGGAGTCAATGTTCTTCACTTGTGTTCCCTCTTAAGGTTTGTCATCCCAGCCACAGCCAACTTAAGCCTTTTATTATTTTCTAGGTTAATTTAGATAGAAAAATTATTATATGATAATGCATTATGATGTACTATTATTATAGCACACTTCTTTTTTTCTTGACTGATATATTTACATCAGTTTAGGAAGGAAATACATGAGTAGTGTAGATGAGTGTGATGACGAGTGGCAACTCTACACGACATGTTTATTCCTGCCATGGCGGGTCTATCTTAGAGGTGAGATCATATTTCATCCTTCCCAAGGGACCTTCCTTCACGCTGGTTGACGGGCTCTTGATCCAAGGAGCTGGACTTGTTCTAATTACCTTACATACCCCCCTCCCCCCAAGCGTTGTACTCTCCTGTTTCCGGCTGCAGGGGTCGAGTTCCCGCTGTATAACACGAAGCTCATTCTGATATTACAGAAATAATACGTATGCTAGAATCTTTTATTCTTCAGAGATGGAAATAAGTCACATTGTCTGACTTTTTTTTTTGGGTTATTCAATGTTCTTTACACATTTGTTATATATGATAATCTATGTGATTGTATTTATGTTAACCTGAATGAACTTAAAAGCATACAGTGTTTTATCTCAGTCTCGGGACCCATCAAAGGGTTACTGATCCAAAGAAGTGAACCTGTCCTTCCCTTCCTTGGATCAAACCTGATTGTTTCCTGTTCTCCAGGTTCTATGATCTTTACAGTTGAAGTTTTATATTAAGTTATTAATTTTTTTCTCATCAATATTTCAGAGCTGTAAAACAGGGCTAGTACCTTTTAATTAATAAAATATATCCAGTCAGCTCTTTCTTGAAATGTGCATATGGACTTTCACAGTTATGAATAATTTAATATTGCTGCCAAATAATTCTGAAATATTTTACATTTGTGTAAATAAATTTTCTCGACACTTCGGCGTCCAGATACCAAGTACTGCCAGGGAACACCTCAATTATAATATTTCCCTCCTTATTACCGACCCAAAAAAGTCTTATACTTGTTCATTGTTTCAACTATGGTACAGTATGTACAATAAGGTGGTGGAAACACTGGTGTATACACTGGGTGTAGTGGTATAGAGGTTAAATATTGTTTGGTGGGTGTATATGGCAAGTGGTGGTGAGGTTGGTCCTGGACGTGTACGACAGCAGCAGCAGCAGCAGCAGCAGCAGGGATGGCAGGAGGTGGTGCACGCACTTATAACTTACCAGTAACTCGCTCTCCACCATCACGTGAGGTGCAGCTGTTACTCCGTGTCAGCCATCATCACCAGGTTGCTGCTGCTGCTTCACCCTGGACCATCACACGTAAGGTACGGCTGTTGCACCTCACTTCACTCACCACCACCACGTGAAGTGCTGCTGCTGCTGCTCCTCCTCCTGTAAAGTGTTAACAGTTTACTGCAGCTGCTGCTGAGGACACAAGTCATTATGGATGAGGTACAGGTAAATTCAGCTGTTAAACCGTATACCTTCACAAACGTGTTATTAAAAATTTTTGGTACTACCAACAACAACAACTCGTTGGAACTCATTATTTTGTGTAGAAAAGGACACTTGTGTATAGTTAAGTGCATTTATTTAAAGGAAACTTTTCATGAGTGGCTTTATCAGCCCTAATATTATTTTTATATTTTACAACACTAATAACGTATGTATATCAAGGAATAAATAATTTCTATTTGTTCAAATTGTTATTTTTGGGAGATACAGGGGGGGGGGGGATTATTACATTAATTTTGGTATGGCAGAGGCTCTTGTTCTTGGCTCTTTGTAAATAAATACGGATAAATGCTTCCAGGATAACTTACCGCAACCTAGCTAATCGTAGCCAAACGTAACCATAACTAAACGCAACGTGATGTAACCTTAACGTGACGTAACCGTAACTGAACGTAACGATAAGTTAACGTAACCAATGTTACGGTAATTAAACGTAATCTAATGTAACGTTAACTAAAAGTAACAACGCGACTTTAAACGTAACCTAGCGTAACTAAGCATTCTCTAACATAGCGTAACCTAGCGTAACTAAACATTCTCTAACATAACGTAACCTAAAGTGACGTAACCCAACGTAACCTAACGTGACGTAACCCAACGTAACCTTACCTAAACGTAACCAAACGTAACCTTCACGAACCATAACTTTAGCTAAACGTAACGTAGCCAAACAATACGTATAACCCAGTTTAACGTATTTTCATTAATATCTTTCCAGTTAACAATTTCTTAATAAATGCTTATTCCATGATGTTTGTACAAGCAGGAAAAAAATAAACTAATGGCACAAATATAAATATAGACCATCTCCCATAACATAAAAAACAGGTCTACTGGTTCTTGCTACAGAGGTCCTTCCCATCAGGGAAGTTAGCTGTGGATGAGGGGCTCTTGATCCAGGGAACTAAACCTATCCTCATTCCTTGGATGGGGGAATTTTATTACCTCCCATTACCCCTCTTGAATCATGCTTTACTACACCAGCATTTATTACCTGATGCATTTATTGCATATACAGAAGTCTTGTGTAATGCTTTACCCTATAACTTTTTTCCTGCTTTCTCAAAAAAAAATTGCAAAAATCATTAATGCCATTTTTAACTGCATAAATATGTGCATAAATTTCACACACTACAAGACAACAATGGAAAAAAGACAGTGTTTGACTGTTAAGATATCCTACCTGTAGTTTACCTGGAGAGGGTTTTGGGGGTCAACGCCCCCACGGTTCGGTCTGAGACCAGGCCTTACGGTGGATCAGGGTCTAATCAACCAGGCTGTTACTACTGGCTGCATGCAAGCTGACATACGAATCACAGCCCGGTTGGTCAGGTACTGACTTTAGGTGCCTGTCCAGTGCCTTCTTAAAGACAGCCAGGGGTCTATTGGTAATTCCCCATGTAGGCTGGGAGGCTGTTGAACAGTTTTGGACCCCGGACACTTATTGTGTTCTCTCTCAACGTACTCATTGGGCCCCTGCTTTTCATTGGGGGAATGTTGCATCTCCTGCCGAGTCTCTTGCTTTCATAGGGAGTGATTTTCGTGTGCAGGTTTGGTACCAATCCCTCCAGGACCTTTCAAGTGTATATTATCATGCATCTCTCACCTGCATTCCAGGGAATACAGATCAAAGACCTTAACCGTTCCCAGTAATTTAGGTGCCTTATCGTGCTTATATGTGCCGTGAAAGTTATTTGTACACTCCAGGTCAGCAATTTCGCCTGCCTTGAAGGTAGCAGTTAGTGTACAGCAGTATTCCAGCCTAGAGAGCACAAGCGATTTGAAGAGAATCGTCATGGGCTTGGCGTCCCTAGTTTTGAAGGTCTCATTATCCATCCTATCATTTTCCTAGCAGATGAGGTAGATACATTGTTGAGGTCTTTGAAGGCGAGGTCCTGACATTATCACTCCCAGATCCTTCCTAGGTTAAATCTACATAATTATACATTTGAAGTCACTTATTTTCTTCAGGCTGGAACATTGGTATATACTAATCACCTTTTTCAAGGTAGGTAAAAGTGAAGAACTGAGAAATGTACAGAGAAATATGCATTATAATCTTGTGAAATACAATGTTTGCAGCATTAGGATATTTTGAGGGAATGTTTTGCTCCTTCAGTCTTACAGGGAACTACTTGAGAAACCCTTTTGTGGGAAAACATTTCGTCAATAAAATATCCCATACACTGCATGTCTTATTTCACATTTGTTGGCATTTCATGCCATCTCTTAACCTACATTACAATTACACCTGGAAAATTCTTGAAGGAATGATACCAAAACTGAACAAAATTATTCCACACAAAAGCAAGAAGCTTGGCAGTTTAAAGTACATTACATACCTCCAATATTTATTAATTTTAACTCTTAATATAATTTTATTTTCGTTTTTTATAAATGCTTATTTGTGTCAGCCAAAAGTACATCAGCATATACAATTATGTTTACTCTTCAGTGCAACCCACATCCTACTTCCATGGTGCAAGTTATTAATTTAGGTACAGGTACACACAAGTACAGTTATCATATGTAGTGGATATTTCTAATTGCATTGAAAGTTTAAATTTTTTATTATGAACTCTTATTTTTCATTCTACAATTATTACCTCCAGGTGCCTGAAAAAAAAAAAACAAAGGAAAAAATGGCAGATAATGAATCAGTTGAAACCAGTGTCCATAATACTTCGCTTCAGTTATTTGAAAGGGGTTAGGAATCAAAATAAAATTGTATAAGGGAAAGTGAACATAATTTTTACAGTTCCCATTTTTAGCAGTGCAGCATGAAATACATTTTAGTTATAAAACACTGGAATGTATAACTTAATCTTGGCAAGACCTGTAATAACACAAATAAGTATGAAATGAAAATTAAGGAGCACTGTTCTTTAATGAAGCTTCAGAATAGGGAGAGGTTTTATATTTTTACTGCAATGCTATATCAAGAAGGTATCATAGATTTGATTGGATTGCCTGAAGATTTGCTCTTTCCCCACCTACACCCCTTTAGTTATTTAAAATTACAAAAAAAAATGATTTACCTTAAGAATACAATCTAATTATTATATAATTTACTCCTCAAAAATTTTATTTTGCTAAATTGATTTTTTTTTTTTGTCAACAGGGTGTGTGCACCACCCAGTTCACATATTCTGTGACAAACACAGTTCACCAAGCTATAGAGGATAATGTAATGATTCAAACCTATATTGGACATCAGGTTAGTACATTCATCTTATTTACCCTTTTTAGATTTAAATTGAAAAAGGTTTCTGGTAGGTTATGATGACTGGTCTTGTTGGCCACTTGCATCTATAATCAGGCAGATGAAGGGTTTTCAGGGCAGTCTGACACAGTAAAGGCCTGTTAATAAAGACAAACTCTTCGACCATGTCAGAGGTCACATTTAATATTGTAAATCTTGGTTTTAGTCATAATCAGTCCTTTGGATTTGCAGCAGTGTAGTCAAAGCTTACTGATGTTTATGAGACAGACAAAAACTTTTTTACTGGTGGATTACCCCTTACAGGTGAGAGGGAAGATGTTTTGATGCCAGGTAAGGATCTCTTGATCCAAGTAGCTGGATTATTGTCCCTTAGGATCAAACCTAAATGCCCCATATTTCCCAGGTGTTACATGACCCCTAGGGGTCATATAGCACCATTGATTAAAATATAAAATACTGAAGGGCTAATTTTTTTTTTTTTAAGTCTTGGCAAAGCAAGAAGTCAGTATAGTCCCCTAAGAGTCGTAGCACCATTACTGTTTCTCATTTTCATAGGCATTTATAGATAAAAAACACTAACCACAGTTTTGTATCTTGTGTTTGGGGCCAAAATATATGTGGAAGTCACCTTATTAGAATACACAGACAAATAATGGAGCAAATTAGATGTCAACAAAGATTTCCAGTGGGCAAATAAAAATAAAAATGCTCTGTACACAAATTTCAACTGCCTAGATATGGGAAGAATGAACTCAACGAGCACAGCACTGTTGACAGAATACAAAATTACAGGGTGGATAGGGGGGCAATGTGGCAGATGTTGCAAGTGTATGGTGTAGGAGGTAGGTTACTGAAAGCAGTGAAGAGTTTTTACGAGGATAGTGAGGCTCAAGTTAGAGTATGTAGAAAAGAGGGAAATTTTTTCCCAGTAAAAGTAGGCCTTAGACAAGGATGTGTGATGTCACCGTGGTTGTTTAATATATTTATAGATGGGGTTGTAAGAGAAGTAAATGCGAGGGTCTTGGCAAGAGGCGTGGAGTTAAAAGATAAAGAATCACACACAGGGTGGGAGTTGTCACAGCTGCTCTTTGCTGATGACACTGTGCTCTTGGGAGATTCTGAAGAGAAGCTGCAGAGATTGGTGGATGAATTTGGTAGGGTGTGCAAAAGAAGAAAATTAAAGGTGAATACAGGAAAGAGTAAGGTTATGAGGATAACAAAAAGATTAGGTGATGAAAGATTGAATATCAGATTGGAGGGAGAGAGTATGGAGGAGGTGAACGTATTCAGATATTTGGGAGTGGACGTGTCAGCGGATGGGTCTATGAAAGATGAGGTGAATCATAGAATTGATGAGGGAAAAAGAATGAGTGGTGCACTTAGGAGTCTGTGGAGACAGAGAACTTTGTCCTTGGAGGCAAAGAGGGGAATGTATGAGAGTATAGTTTTACCAACGCTCTTATATGGGTGTGAAGCATGGGTGATGAATGTTGCAGCGAGGAGAAGGCTGGAGGCAGTGGAGATGTCATGTCTGAGGGCAATGTGTGGTGTGAATATAATGCAGAGAATTCGTAGTTTGGAAGTTAGGAGGAGGTGCGGGATTACCAAAACTGTTGTCCAGAGGGCTGAGGAAGGGTTGTTGAGGTGGTTCGGACATGTAGAGAGAATGGAGCGAAACAGAATAACTTCAAGAGTGTATCAGTCTGTAGTGGAAGGAAGGCGGGGTAGGGGTCGGCCTAGGAAGGGTTGGAGGGAGGGGGTAAAGGAGGTTTTGTGTGCGAGGGGCTTGGACTTCCAGCAGGCATGCGTGAGCGTGTTTGATAGGAGTGAATGGAGACAAATGGTTTTTAATACTTGACGTGCTGTTGGAGTGTGAGCAAAGTAACATTTATGAAGGGGTTCAGGGAAACCGGCAGGCCGGACTTGAGTCCTGGAGATGGGAAGTACAGTGCCTGCACTCTGAAGGAGGGGTGTTAATGTTGCAGTTTAAAAACTGTAGTGTAAAGCACCCTTCTGGCAAGACAGTGATGGAGTGAATGATGGTGAAAGTTTTTCTTTTTCGGGCCACCCTGCCTTGGTGGGAATCGGCCAGTGTGATAATAATAATAATAAAAATAAGGAATTAGCAAGAGAATTAAAATAATTGTCAGATGATGTCATTCATAGAATACAATAAGGCAGGTAGACGAAACAAAGCCCAGGAAAATGAGTGACTTACGAAACCTCTCAAAGCAGAGCACCATGAATGATGGTACAGTACAGATTAAGTAAGTAAGTATGTGCTCAGGAATGTTTCTACATCCTTTCAGACTGATTGAACCTGGTGCTGTTGGAGAAATCTTTGCAGAAAACCTTTTATAGTGTTTTTGAGTAGGAGAAATACAGTAATAAAAAATAATAAAAAAGTTTGCGACTATAATTCTTGACCACCTGTACTTTTAAAAAATTTCACAAGTGCTTACGTACCAAATCAGTAATATGATACAAAACACTAGTTTATATTAAGGAGTGAAAGTATGATCATCAGGTTTATAAGCTCTAGGAAAAAAAAAATGTAATTTCAAATGAACCTTAAAAGTATGAACAGAACCTGTTCACTGTCTGTCGTGTAGATCTGTCATTGATACCAGGGTCCTAGTATAGATCTATGCTTTGAGTTCAGCTAACTCAGATAAGCTGTGAGCAATAAATTTTAGCCTAAATATGAGAGAATGGGTCTGTGAAGTGAGTGCACAGTACTGAAAAAAGAAAAATTGCCCCACTCGGTGCACGACAGAGAAGAGCAGCGCGAGGCGTTTCCTAGGATTTTTTCTCTTGGAATCGTCTGATAGAAGATATACTACTGAAATAGTTGATTTTGATTGGTTTCAGGATTGGAAGTAGCTTGAAATTAGGCTCAAAGTAGTGGAAATGTTAAATTTCTGCCTCTTTTCCTGAGGACAAGTAAGACTCCTCTACACCACCTCTCTTCCCCATTTTTTTTTTTTGGTTTTTACTAGGTCTAATTCAATTATTGGGATGCCATAAACCATGACCAATCATTCCTAACTATATTTTATTATCCAGGAATTAGAGTAGATCTTCATATTTTGTTTTGTGATGAATTCAAAATAGAAAGCAAGTGTAATATAAAAGAGGCTTTTCGATGTTATTAATGAACAGAAGAAATGTTTTAGTGCCTGGAATATCTGCAGTGTTTATTTTGGACTGTTTTTAAATAGAAACTATTTAAGTGTTGTAAAATGGGCCAAATTACCAACTTTTTGTTCTGATAGTTGAATAGGCATTTTTTTTTTTCTCAGGAGAATGAAGGCATTCCAGCAAAATAGCAAGGAATTTGATCAAATTGACTTAGCTTATAATAAGACTCAAAGCTGGCAAAATTTCCAATGCATAAATTGCACCCAGGCTCCAGGCGGACATCAACCAAATCTTTCAGTGGGCTGCAGAAAAATATGAAGTTCAACGATGAGAAATTTCAATTACTCAGATATGGTAAACATGAGGAAATTAAATCATCTTCAGAGTACAAAACAAATTCTGGCCACAAAATAGAGCGAAACACCAACGTCAAAGACCTGGGAGTGATCATGTCGGAGGATTTCACCTTCAAGGACCATAACATTGTATCAATCGCATCTGCTAGAAAAATGACAGGATGGATAATGAGAACCTTCAAAACTAGGGAGGCCAAGCCCATGATGACACTCTTCAGGTCACTTGTTCTATCTAGGCTGGAATATTGCTGCACACTAACAGCACCTTTCAAGGCAGGTGAAATTGCTGACCTAGAAAATGTACAGAGAACCTTCACGGCGCGCATAACGGAGATAAAACACCTCAATTACTGGGAGCGCTTGAGGTTCCTAACCCTGTATTCCCTGGAACGCAGGCGGGAGAGATACATGATTATATACACCTGGAAAATCCTAGAGGGACTAGTACCGAACTTGCACACGAAAATCACTCACTACAAAAGCAAAAGACTTGGCAGACGATGCAACATCCCCCCAATGAAAAGCAGGGGTGTCACTAGCACGTTAAGAGACCATACAATAAGTGTCAGGGGCCTGAGACTGTTCAACTGCCTCCCAGCATACATAAGGGGGATTACCAACAGACCCCTGGCAGTCTTCAAGCTGGCACTGGACAAGCACCTAAAGTCGGTTCCTGACTAGCCGGGCTGTGGCTCGTACGTTGGTTTGCGTGCAGCCAGCAGTAACAGCCTGGTTGATCAGGCTGATCCACCAGGAGGCCTGGTCACAGACCGGGCCACAGGGGCATTGACCCCCAGAACTCTCTCCAGGTAAACTCCAGACCATTAACTTTGAATACTCTGGTGCCATTACTTTCAGAAAGATTCTCTACCATTTCAGAAGAATGATTTTTTCTTGGAAAAAGTGGACACAGGAATATTAATTTTGAACCCCAACTCTGCTATTTTAATTTGGGGGATCATGATGGTGAAGGGGTTAAGGGGCACTGGCTCTTGGAATATTTTTATTATAAAATATTGTAAACTTGATTATAAGTAATAATAATGTGATCGAACCATAATTAGTTACTCTATTGTTTTAATTTGCAGGATTACTACCAGTGCATATTGTGCAATCGGTCTATGTCTGGTATTGTTCCTGCACAGAGCCACCTTGAAGGATCTCAACACAGAAAAGCTATACGAAACTATATGTACAGCTCTGTTCTCAGTGCCTCCAAAGGGTCAAATTTGGTTTCTGATAGTGTAGGGAACCTCGACGATTCACTTCCACCTGATTACCAGTCACCAGCCCCAGTGCAGTCATTGACAGCTTTATCACAATTTGAAACTGGCAAGTTGAAATATGCTTGGCTATAATTTTTGGAGTACAGGTATTTCAGTTGTGCTCTTAATTTGTACATAATCCTAGTGCCTCTGTATACTTGTTTTTTGGTAACTTACGCATTTCTTATTGGTAGAATTGATCATGTCATTGTAGTCTTTCGTTTGGAGGGTTTCAAATAGGAAATTTATTTCAGAGACTGCAAATATTTTGCAACTCCAAATACCTTAGCAAAGATACAAACCTATGTTAGGTATTAGACAAAGTACCATATCAGTGGGATAAAATGATACTGTAGACGCTTACAATGCAGTATATACAGTAGGGCCCTGCATTATGCCGTTCCGCTAATATGGACATTTCAAATTATGACCAAAACAACTATACGGCATCCCCCACCTGACTTTCTAATACATAATGTCACCGCGGGCCATCCGGTTTATTTACATTCTCCATGAGCATGACTGTTATGTCTGGAAACTTTCCAAAATTTCAAGTGTTTTAAAGTTATTGCATATTTTATATATTTCTTTCTTCTTTCAACGTACCAGCCGTATCCCACCGAGGTGGGGTGGCCCAAAAGGAAAAACGAAAGTTTCTCCTTTCAAATTTAGTAATGTATACAGGAGAAGGGGTTACTAGCCCCTTGCTCCCGGCATTTAAGTCGCCTCTTACAACACACATGGCTTACGGAGGAAGAATTCTGTTCCACTTCCCCATGGAGATAAGAGGAAATAAACAAGAACTAGAAAGAAAATAGAAGAAAACCCAGAGGGGTGTGTGTATATATATATTTTCTTTTTTTTCAACAAGTCGGCCGTCTCCCACCCAGGCAGGGTGACCCAAAAAAGAAAGAAAATCCCCAAAAAGAAAAAGCTTTCATCATCATTCAACACTTTCACCACACTCTCACATAATCACTGTTTTTGCAGAGGTGCTCAGAATACAACAGTTTAGAAGCATATATGTATAAAGATACACAACATATCCCTCCAAACTGCCAATATCCCAAACCCCTCCTTTAAAGTGCAGGCATTGTACTTCCCATTTCCAGGACTCAGGTCCGACTATATGAAAATAACCGGTTTCCCTGATTTTTTTTTTTTTTTTTTTTTTTTTCAACAAGTCGGCCGTCTCCCACCGAGGCAGGGTGACCCAAAAAAGAAAGAAAATCCCCAAAAAGAAAATACTTTCATCATCATTCAACAATTTCACCACACTCGCGCATTATCACTGTTTTTGCAGAGGTGCTCAGAATACAACAGTCTAGAAGCATACACATATAAAGATACACAACATATCCCTCACACTCCACACTCCAACTCCAACAGATCGTCAGGTCCCAAGTACCATTCGTCTCCATTCACTCCTATCTAACACACTCACGCACGCTTGCTGGAAGTCCAAGCCCCTTGCCCACAAAACCTCCTTTACCCCCTCTCTCCAACCCTTTCGAGGACGACCCCTACCTCGCCTTCCTTCCCCTATAAGAACATAAGAACGAAGGAACACAGCAGAAGGCCTACTGGCCCATGTGAGGCAGGTCCAAGTCTCCTATCGGCTTAAGCCAATGCACCCAACCTAGTCAGGTCAGGTCACATTGACTTAAGGGAGGAACACAGCAACCGACCTGGTAGCACAAGCTATCAGGTCCAACTCACACCCACCCACATCCGCTCATGTATTTATCCAACCTATTTTTAAAGCTACACAACGTTCTGGCCTCTATAACTGTACTCTGGAGTTTGTTCCACTCATCCACAACTCTATTACCAAACCAGTACTTTCCTATATCCTTCCTGAATCTGAATTTTTCCAACTTAAAACCATTGCTGCGAGTCCTATCTAGGCTAGATATTTTCAGCACACTATTTACATCCCCTTTATTCCTGTCTTCCATTTATACACCTCAATCATATCCCCCCTAATTCTATGTCTTTCTAGAGAGTGCAGATTCAGGGCCCTTAGTCTATCCTCATAGGGAAGGTTTCTGATACATGGGATCAACTTTGTCATCCTCCTTTGTACATTTTCCAGAGAATTTATATCCATTCTGTAATACGGTGACCAAAACTGTGCAGCATAATCTAAATGAGGCCTAACCAAGGATGTATAGAGTTGAAGAACAACCTGAGGACTCCTATTATTTATGCTTCTTGATATGAAGCCAAGGATTCTATTAGCTTTATTGCGAACACTTATGCACTGTTGTCTTGGTTTCAGATTACTGCTAACCAGAACTCCTAAATCTTTTTCGCAATCCGTAATATAAGATCTACATTATTTAGTTTATATGTGGCATGGTTATTGTCCTGTCCAACATTTAGAACTTTGCATTTGTCTATATTAAACTGCATCTGCCACTTCTCCGACCACTGCATCAGTCTATTCAAATCTTCCTGGAGTGCTCGAATGTCCTCGTCAGAATGAATTCGACGGCCTATTTTGGTGTCATCGGCAAACTTGCCGATGTCGCTCTTTATGCCCTCATCTATGTCGTTTATGTAGATTGTGAACAGCAGGGGGCCCAACACCGACCCTGTGGAACACCGCTCGTGACGCTTCCCCACTCTGATTTCTCCCCATTTATGCAAACTCTCTGCTGCCTATTTGTCAACATTGCCTCTATCCAGGAAAAATTTCTCTCCTATTCCATGTGCTTTAATTTTCCTCAATAGTCTCTGATGTGGGACCCTGTCAAAAGCCTTACTGAAGTCCATATACACAATATCATATTCATTACCATGATCTACCTCCTCAAATACCTTAGTGAAAAAAGTTAATAAATTCGTAAGGCAGGAACGCCCCTTTGTAAAACCATGCTAGATTCGTTGATTAATTTATGCTTTTCAAGGTGGCTACGAACTGCCTCGGCAATTATTGATTCATAAATTTTCCCACTATGGAGGTTAGGCTTATTGGTCTATAGTTCGAAGCTAAGGACCTGTCACCTGTTTTGAAAATAGGTATCACATTTGCCATTTTCCACTTACCTGGCACCATGCCAGTTTGTAGTGATATGTTGAAAAGATTAACCAAAGGTGTGCTAAGCTCCTCTTTACATTCCTTTAGAACCCTTGCATACAGTTCATCAGGGCCTGGGGATTTGTTAGGTTTTAATTTATCTATTTGCCTAAGGACCATGTCACTTGTGACTCTAATCGTGCACAGTTTATTATCGTCCTGTTCTACATAATTTATCATTACTGGAATGTCGCTGGTATCCTCCTGTGTAAAAACTGAGAGGAAGTATGTGTTAAAAATTCTACACATTTCCTTATCACTGTCAGTGAGCTGACCTGAGGAACTTTTGAGTGGGCCTATCTTGTCCCTGATCTTACTTCTGTATACCTGAAAGAATCCTTTTGGGTTAGTCTTCGATTCTCTTGCAACTTTAACCTCATAATCTCTTTTTGCTTTTCTAATTCCCTTTTTTATTTCTCTCTTTAACTGAATATATCGATTTCTTAATTGCCCCTCTCCTCTTTTGATTTGCCTATATATGCCTCTCTTTTGACCAATCAGATATTTTAATCTATTGTTCATCCATTTAGGATCATTTTTGTTTGATCTGATTTCCCTATTTGGAACATAATTTGACTGAGCAGCTAGAACTATGCCCTGGAAAGCATCATATCGGCAACCATCACCACCTACCTGACCCTTAGTCAGGTCATTCCAGTTCAGCCCACCTAAGTAATTTTTCAGTCCTATGAAATCAGCCAAGCGAAAGTCAGGGACGGAGACTTGATTGCCATTATTAGGGGAATTCCATGATATATTAAAACTGAGTGATTTGTGATCACTTTCCCCAAGCTCATCATTAACTCAAGATTATTAATTAGTGTTTCCCTACTGCAAGAACCAAGTCAGGAGGTTATTTCCCCTAGTTGGCTCTGTCACAAAACTGTTTTAAAAAACAATCCTGGATCGTATCAAGAAAGTCACCTGACTCAAATTTCCTGTCAAATTGCTCCAGTCAATCTGTCTATAGTTGAAATCTCCCATTAGCACAACATTTTCGTATGTAGATGCCTTACGAATTTCGTCCATAGAAGTTTACTGCACTCCCTATTAAGATTTGGGGCCCTGTAAATCACACCCAAAATTAGTTTTTCTCGGCCCTCGAGAAGCTGTAACCAAACAGATTCAGTGGCTGACGCTTCTAATTTAATATCTTGTCTAACACAACAATTTAAATTGTCTCTGACATACATCGCTACTCCACCACCTTTCCTGTTGACCCTGTCAGTGTGGAATAATTTATAGCCTTGTATGTGACATTCAGAGGGCATCTCTCTATCTTTCAGATTGAGCCAGGTCTCTGTTATAGCAATAATATCTGTTTCCTGCACTTGCAATTAATCTTAGCTCATCTGTCTTATTTCTTACACTCCTGCTATTAGTATAGTAAACCTTAAGGGAGTTAGTCCCTTGCTGCCTTCTGCTGTCCCCCTTTGTTTGCTGACCTGATCTATTGTCTTTATTTATTACTTCATGCTGAATGCCTTTTATACATTTACTGTTTCCAACCCTAGTGTTGCAACCTGCTTCTTTCCCACACACACCCATACCTCTATCTTCCATCAGTTTAAAATCATAGGCATTTCACCAATGGCCTTCTCAATCGAGTCTGCAAGTGCTACCACCCCTGCTCCAGAGAGATGTACCCCATCCCTTGCATACATATCATGTTTGCCATAAAAGTTGTTCCAGTTGTCAATGAATGGGATTGCAAGTTCCTTGCAGTATCTGTCTAGCCAGCAATTTACACCAATTGCCCTAGACAACCATTCATTTCCTACTCCCCTTCTAGGCAAGATGCTACATATGATTGGGATCCCTCCCTTAGACTAAATGAAATCTATAGCTGACCTGTACTTATCTAGCAGCTCTTCTCTCCTACCCTTCCCAATATCATTTCCACCAGCACTGAGACAGATAGTGAGCTTGTTCCCATTACCTGACATGATATTATCCAGCCTGTTGACAATGTCCCCAACACCAGC